GGGATCATGACCTGAGCCAAAGGCAGATGCTTAACAATTGAGCCACCCAGGAGCCCCTCAGACTTTTTTGATTATATAATTTATTTCTGTGAATTAACTTGCCAGATTAGTGTCCCTTGTATGTGCTGTTGGGAAATGCTGGCATAAAGCCCTTTCTGTCAGAGATTTGCCAATCTGCAGGAGGCATGGAAGACCATACAGAAGTCATTGGCCTTATCTTGCCCCAGGTAAAGGCCTAGAACAGACGAGGGCACCTGACATAGTAATCAGGGATGGTCTCTGGAGCAAAGTTCTAGCGGCACGTCTTTAAATAAAGCAGCACGACAAGGCGTCTTCCTCTCCAGGCCCTCTCCTGCGGCCTGTCTCCTGCCTTGTGTGCCTGCTGGAGCAGCTTCCATGCCTCTGTCTTTGGGTGAGGGGAGAAGGAGGACAGGGTGGAGATGACATTGTTATTTCAGAATTTTAAATTATGAAATAATTTCGGCATACAAAAAAGCGCAGAAACAAATATAACACACTTGTGTAACTACACCAAGATTGTTAGGTGTTACCATTTTGCCACATCTGCCTCATAACCTCCCTCTTGTTATAAAGGGGGAAAAAAGCAAGGCTGAAGCTCCCCATCTTTTATCCTCTCCCTTCTCCAGAAAACGCCATGTATTTCCTTTCCAATGCATGCTTTTGAACTTTTACTATATATATGTATCTATAAAAATATATATACTATTTTGTGTATTAAAAATGTATACAAATGGTATTATGCTGCATTCTTTTATTGCTTTTTCAAATTCAGCATTATATTATTTGGATTTGAACCATTTCGCTATGTAGACCTTACTGCCTTTTTTTTTTTTTTTTTAAACTACTGTGAGGAATTCCATTGTATGGTTCTACCAAATCCTGTATTTTTCCATTTACGTACCGTTAGACTGAGTCCTCTTTCTGACTTTTGTAAATAGCATTGCATGGAATGTCCTTCTTGGGACACATGTGAGCATTTCATGGCCATATATTTACAAGGGAAATTGCTGGGTCAGGAGGTCAGTGCACCTGTATACTTGGTGAGGAAAGAGTTTTCTAAAGCTTCTTGAGGAAGAAAACGGGAGAGAAGATAAACCTCGATTATTTCTTCAGTTTTGAAGTATGAGCGAAGTTCAGGGTAGGGTAAAATGAAAAATGGGCCCGGAATTTCTGCACATTTAACGTGACACAGGGATATGAAAGTTAATACTCACGTTTTTGTATCAGAGTGATTTCCTGAAGTAAATACTTAAATGAATCATTTTTTACTATACTTTCTCTCTCTAATAATATATGAACGCATTCATATTTCTTGGAAATTGGAATAAATTTTTTGTTATTATGTGTGCTCACGCTCCACTGTAAGATCTTCTTTAGTTAGAAATGAGTGAAATAAATTCTTGTTTTTCTTGTTTTTAGGTAACAAAGAGGCTCTGATCTCAAGCATTTTCTAGAGATTTCCATTTAGTGTAGTGTGGTGATCTTTTATTCAAACCATGATAAAGGTCCAGAACATTTGCTGAGTGATAATGACTTAAATTAAACTAGGCTTAGCAGTTAACACCTGAGAGTGCTGTGTGGCTGTGAGCGGGAAGTTCAGGGTTTTGGCTGTTGGATGAAGCTTGGCATACGTGTTTCAAAGAGTTGGGTGGTGCAGGTGATTGCATTTTTATGAGATATTCCTTCAGTTGTTTAATTTTTTATATAATGATCACTTGATTTAGTAATCACGGAACAACACCCATTCATTCAACAAACATTTAGTGACTGGCAGCCCCTCTCCCGGGAGGCATTCCAAGAATGTGGGAGCTTAGAGTCCAGTGATTAAGGACAAACAGTAAAGATAACGCATAACTAAGGGGGTAACTAAGTCCGTATCATCTCCCCTGTGGTAAAAAAAAGTAGAATTGGAAATGGCCTGAGAAAGACGACTGGGGCTGTGCTTGTGTAGTGAGGCTGCTCAGGGCAGGGGCAGCATCTGGCCCGAAGTGCTTTGTGACTCCAGCTCCTCTCACTTGGTTCCTGATGCCCAGTAACTCTTGGTTTAACTTCCCTTGCATCCAACATTCTGGTAATCTTATTTAGCTGAAGTGTGTTTGCGAACTAAGTTATAAACAAGAAGTCTCTCAGTAGCCAGAATTGATTTTACAAAACTCGAGGCTGTCAGAGCTTGCGTGCTTCCCTCATGAACAAGTCCCCTGGGCCTCCCTGTTTTGAACCGTCAGTTTCTCAGCCCTCAGCAGGGTCAGTCTTACGGCAGAGGGAGACCAGAGTTACACTGTGGGGCTTGTGCACACGGCTTTCGGCAGGAGGCTCTGGGGCCCTCAGTGTATTACGGCTCAACTTGCTGATTTATGTTTCGTTTAAGATGTCGGAAAAGCGTATAATAGATCTTTGAAAGCCCTGGATCTAAATGGATTAAAACAGAGGCAATATTGATCATTAAAGAATTAGACTTTAGTTGTAAACAACTGAGGTATTATATTTAGAAATTGATTTTTAAAGATAAAACTTAGGAAATAATTAATATTTTAAAGATACCACTATAACTTGTTTAATGAGTACTAGCATCTGTGTAGCATTCCAGGTAGGATTATTATATTGCTGGTTATAATATTAATATGAATTAATAGAGAAAGTAGCCTTATTTTATAGCTGGAGATATGAGATGGGTATCATTATGTGACTGACCACATTAACACAAGTGAGGCCCAGTAGGCCTTGGAGACAGCTAGCCGGGTTCAGTAGATGGGCACTGGGACCCAGTTCTAACTGATAGCCCGATTGTACTGAGTTTGAAATCACCTCATCCCAGGCTCACAGAGGGAAAGTACCAAATAAATTAGGCCATGTATCTAAAAGGAGAGCAATGGGTTTTAATTGTCGAAGACAGCAGTAAAATCTCCCAAGCAAAGGTTTTTTGGTGGTTTCTCCTCTGAAGTTCGCTGTGTTCTGTAGATTGTTGCTGTGGTTCCATTGAAAATTTGCTTATGTTCCCACCCACCCTACCATGCCTCCCCTGCACCCCTACTTACCCCCAAGCTTTTCAGAGCTGGAATAGATAGTAACAGATTCTAATAAGCTCATGGCTGCTCTGGTGTTAGTTTCTGCCACAGTATGTCCTGTTGTTGTCTTAGAAAATAGAGCCCCCCCCCCCCCCCCCCCCCCCGCCAAACGGCACTTTCATATTGTGTGTAAGGGTTTCTGTAAACCAGAAAATCAACATATTAAAGTGCAATTCCTAGGGGAGTTGCTGGCTGTGTTGACTGAGCTTTGCAGTCATTTTAACACTGGCAAAAGTGTTATCCTAACGGCTTCAAATCAAACCGCAAAGATGCTTGTGTAAAATATAGTATTAGATATCAAATCAACATATGGGTGCTGAACGGAAGGATATGTGTTGTGGTAGTGTACGATATTCTAGCATGTGGAGTTGTATTTTATGGAAATTCTTTGGCTTGGCTTATGGCAGGGACATACATTCATTATGAGATATCAAGTTGTAAAATAAATAAAAGCAAAGAATTCAACTGTGCAGCTAAATGGTTTTCAATACAAACTTGTCTGCTCTACTAGCTTCGGGTCTGTGTGACGAGGCATTTGTGAGCCGTTGCGGCCAAATGTTTGTGATCATTGCTGACAGGCCCGGACAGTAATCTAGATCAGGTCACAAAGAAAATGAACTTTAGCTTTTGCATTTTCCCCTTTTACTTCATTGTGTTACGAAGTCTTGTGCTAATTGGTCTTAGAGGCGAAGTGTTTAATATTTTCCTCCTCTTATCATTCCTTCTTTTTCCTCATTCAGTATTTTATAGGGATTGCATTTTTAAATGTGTATCTGGAACTGATCACTGATTTCTTAACCTTTTGGGTTTATGGACCTCTAATTCTTGGGATTCTCAAGGGGGCCATATTATATTATTAACAGGGTGACTTCACTGTCCTCCTCTACAGAGTGCTTCTTGCCATCCGCATACCTTGTTTTTCTTTTTCTCTACTGCTCTCTCTCCCAATTAGGAAAAAAAAAGGCAGTAGCTTTTTCATTAAAAAAAAAAATTAAAAATATCATCCATGATATATTTATGGCATGAGGAAGGACTTCTCTTTGAGCAAATATTTTAAGGATTTTTAGGTTCATGTAAATTAGAGATGGAGAAAGCTCACTTGGGCCATTTTTGTCTGTATCTGGCATTTGCGTCTAGCACACTTTGCTTTCCACCATTACCTGTTCTATCAACTAGGAAAATACTGTTCTAATATTAGATATGAGTATCTTTCCTTTAAGAACTCATGTTGTTGGTTATATGGCGTTATAGACATAATACTGTCTTCTAAAAGGGTTGTCTTTGGTTGTAAAGCAATGTAGTTTCTTTTTAGCAGAAGCAGTAAATGGAATTGCTGATACCCGGTTACAGTGTCTGCTCCGATGTAGTTGGGAGTTCTGGACCTTAGCTGAAACAAAACCACGCCCTGTACCTGTAGCCAAGCCACAAGCATCCTACAGAGCATCAGTGAGTGGGCTTGGCTGGTTGGAGTTCATTTTAATTTTGAGCATTGCAGGAGAACGGATTAACGTAATGCTCCTTTGACTTCCTTAGCGGTGGGTTTTTTTCTTCTTCTTAACATACAGTGTTTTATTAGCTTCAGGTGCATAATACAGTGATTCACCGACTCAGCAGAGGTGGTCTTTTCCTGTCAGTATTAGGAGATCCCCCTCCCCCGGATTTTTATGAGGCTATCCGTACTTCATTAGGGGACGAAATCCTGTTTTTTTAAAACAGTCTGAATTACCTTACTTCACTGATGACATGTGACTAGAAGGCAGTATGACGATTCATGTAACGGAGAGAGGGTGAAAAATACTGAATTCGGTGGCTTAGCCAAGAGCCCACTTGGTGTTGCTGAGTCGAAACCATATTTGCTCTCATTGCATGTGCCCATTTTGACTCTGTCGCCTGTTCTGCTTGACTTGTTGACAGATGCCCCCTCAGTACGGACAGCAGGGGGTGAGCGCCTACTGCCAGCAGGGCCAGCAGCCTTTCTACAACCAGCAGCCGCCGCCTCCGCACCTCCCCCCACAGGCCCAGTACCTGCCGGCCCAGGCACAGCAGAGGTACCCGTCACAGCAGGTGAGCGTCCCGCCCGCCCCGGGCCCCCCTCCAGGTCTGCCAGGCTGGGCTGAGTCCTCTGCCTGTCCTGCTTAAAAAGGTCTGATCTCAGTGGGAAAAAATGCAGTTTTGAGAAAAGTGTGAAACTGAACCTAAACTGTTTGTTTATGGATGGATGTTTGAAATTGAAGAGCGGGAGGAACATGCTCATTCAGAAAGATGGTTTCATTGATCATTTAACCTTGGCACCTACATGGTATTTTTTATCTTGAGCTTTTTTTTTGGTTTTCGTTTTAATGATAAGTGCTACTGTGTCCAAACACTGTTGCCTTGGGCAGTGTTCTTTCTCTTAAAGGAGCTTGTAGACAGATAATCACTTCAATTACGATACATTAAAAAACTAAAGGGAATCATGTACTTTAAGAATATCAAGCAGTTTGTAGTTTAAATTAGCCTCATTAAATACTTTTTCTGTAAATGAGCCATATATTCCAGCTTATGTGATTTGTAGAAAAATAGTACATACGCATTTGATAAAATGATTCCGTCTCATCTTGATTTAGAGGTTGTCACTGAGTGATCCTGAAAGGGGCTGTGAGCTCAGGGCTCTTACTCTGAATCCAGAGGAACGTTTCATAGCACCTCTGGTCATAAGCATCAGAATGTAACTTTCCATTTCATATTTTCCTTTCCTTATTGTGGGGTGCTGTAGTGAAGGGAGGGAACACAGTGACTTGGTTATTCAGTTTTTAAAGTGTGTCTTCCACATCTGAAAGAGATTATTGATGCTAAGCAAAGTATATAAATATGTGAAGCTTAATTTTAATTCAGCTGATTTCTTACGTATTTTCTTGGTTTCATTGGAGTCTTTTCCCATGGGACTTTTATTTAAGAGTTCTAAAGAGCGTTTATGACTTTTTTTTTGAGATTTTATTTATTTATTTGATAAAGTAAGAGAGCGCATGAAAGTGGGAAGAAGGGCGAAAGGGAGAAGCAAGCTCCCTGCAGAGCAGGGAGCCCCGTGTGGGACTCGATCCCAGGATCCTGGGATCATGACTTGAGCTTAAGGCAGCCGTTTAAGTGACTGAGCAATCCGGATGCCCCGAGAGTCTTATGACTTTAAAGAAAACATGTTTGAAACAACAGCTGAGGAGCACCTGGGTGGCTCAGTCAGTTAAACGTCTGCCTTTGGCTCAGATCATGATCCCAGGGTCCTGGGATCAGGTCCCTCATCGGGCTCCCTGCTCAGCAGGGAGCCTGCTTCCCTCTCTCTCTCTCTGCCTGCCTCTCTGCCTACTTGTGATAGCTCTCTCTCTCTCTGTCAAATAAAATAAATAAAATCTGAAAAAAAAATAAAAAACAACAACAGCTGAGATCAAAGATCCTGTAGAATCTTGGTTTTTTGGTGTATGTTTTCAATATTCTGGTATTATATAAAGGGATATATGGAGGTAGGAATGTATATTATTTCAGAGTTATTTGGTCTAGTCTTTTATTAAGATGTGGGGAAATTAAATAATCTTCCAATATCTTTTCTTTTTTAAGGGAGACTGATACCTGGGTTTATGATATATAAATTACAGGCTTTTTCAAGGGCTTTCCAAACCTTACTGAACTTCTGGGTAGATATAGAATGTTTTGTCATGCCATCAAAATGTAAGATGGACTGAACAGAGAGATTACATTAGTCATTTTACTATAGTGCTGAAATGAATCTCTGATTGAAAAACCAGTTTGATTAAGGATTCTGAGTGCCTGTCATTTCCTTTAAGACCAAGCTCAAATTTACTTCCTTTATGAAGCATTCACTGATGACTTCTACCACATGGCACTTAGTTATTTAATATCCTTCACATTTAAATATTTAAAGCGTACTACAGGTGAAATCTTAGTTTAATGAATACTATCTTAATGTGCTGCGTTTAGGTCTATTTTATGCTTTGGTTCTATTATTTTATTGATTTGAATGTAGTAAATCATTGGTAGGAAATACAGTCTGTATAACCATGGCTCTCCAACATAGATACTGTCATTTCTGTATATCCTGAGGAAGACAAAAATTCTTCAGACTATGTTGGAAAGTTTTTCTTGTATTCATATTTCCTACCTATAGAATGTCTAAGTGTTTTTTAAGTTTCATTACGCTCTTTATGGGACGAAGAGATTAAGTCACAGACGGTTAGGCAGCCGAAGCAGAGGGTCTTGTTTGATAGGAACAACTTTGGTTTTTAGGGAGTTAGATGTTCAGATAGTTTTGGAAAGTTTGTCTAGGAAATAAGATTTAGCATTTTAGATGTGGTTAGTGCCTCCCAAAACAGCAATCCCCTCAAACTCTATCCCAGAACAAAGTAAAAATAACCAACAGAGTATTTTCAATCGAACTGAATTTTAATAAGAATTTGTCATTCTGAATTCACATACGTTGAAAAACCAAAGAAGCTCAACTATATTTAATGTAGTGAGCCAGTAGTTCCTAAAAGACAGAACGTTTTTTTCTGCAGCCTTTCCTTTTGTTTCCAAACAGCGTACAGTACATGGCGTATTGATTTTTATATTAGGGAATCAATCAGCAAATAATACTTCGTGTCTTTTGTTAATATGATTGATACAAAAAGTAATTTTAGGGTTCCATTAAGATACCTCACTCTGGGTCTTTAACATCTGTTAAAGTGTTATATTTTGAATAATCAATACATTCATATGTTCCAAAGATGAAAAAGTACAAGGGAAAGGATACAAATAAAAATCTCCCTGTACAGTCATCCCTTCAGGTTCACCATCCGTCTCAGCCTTTGCCAGACAACCGCTTTACAGGTTTATCGTACAGCTTTCTGGAGTATCTTTATACAAAGAAGCAAGAAGATACCACATTTAATTTTTACTCTGTTTTTACACAAATGGTGACGTCCTCTGACATACACACTATTGTGTTCTTTGTCATCCTCCGCCCCCCACCCTCTGGAGGATATAGTTTCTGTAGATTTGCCAGAGGAGGAAATACAGCAGCCCTTCATTCTTTTTCAGAGCATCCTTCCATTTTATGGACAAATCATGATGATATTTAACCAGTTCTCTATTGATGGTCACTTAGACTATTTTTAATTATTTGCGAGTCAAAGAATGCTGCTGTGATAAACTTTCTGTGTATGTTTAGTTTCATAAACGTGCAGATATATGTGTATGATAAATTCCTAAAAATGGCATTAGTGTGTCGGTGGGTAGATGCAGTTTTAGTTTTGGTAAATATTGCCAGAGTGTTCCTTTGGGCGGCGGGGGGGGTTATACCACTTTATACTCAGACCATCAATATGTGAGAATACCTGTTTGCCTACACATGTGCTGGTAGCATGGTTTACTAAGTTTCTGGATTTTTGCCAATCTGATAATGTAATTTTAATTTGCATTTATCTTGTTTTGAGTTGTGTTGAATGTCTTATATACTTGAAAGCATTTGCTTTTCCTTTTTTTTTTTTGATTGTGAATTCTTATCTTTTTATCTTGCATTCTTCTATTCAGTTATTGCTCTTTTAAAAATTGATTCAATAAAACTCTATGTATAGGGAGACTGGGTCTCTATGATATGAATTACTAACCACCCAACCCCATTTTGTCATTTATCTTTTGACATTATGATTTATTTATTTGGTCATGCCAAAGGGGCATTTTAAATTTAAAAAAATTTTTGTGTGCTCAGAATTATCAGTCTTTTGTGATCTCTGGATTTTTATTTAGTGAGTATATGAGTCTTCCATTCTCCAAAATTTATAAGGGAACTCTCCCGTGTTATTTTGTAGTATTTTCATGGATTCATTTTTGCATTTCATTTGCCCCAATCCAGCTTAATTGTTGCTTTGCTAGGTAGGCTGTTGTGTTAGGGGTCTATAGAGAAACTCTGTGTGTGTTTTGTGTGTGTGTGTGTGTGTGTGTGTGTGTGTGTGTTTGGTTAGGCTAAAGAGATTCATTTTAAGGGGTTGGCATATACAGTTATGAAGCCTGGCAAGTCGCAGGTGTGCAGTGTGGCAGGCTGGAGAACTGGGAGAGCTGACGGTGGACATGAAATCTGAAGGTGGTCTGCTGGAGAATTCCCTCTTAGTTGGAGAGTCTGGTCTTCTTGCCCTCTTCATCCCTCAACTGGTGGCCTACCCGCATTACTCAAAGTCACTGATTGCAATGTTCATTTCATCCAAAAACACTCTCCAAGTTGACACACAAAATTAACCATTACAGTTACCTTTCCCCAATGTGTTGGAGATGCTTCTTTCGTTATTTGCTGAATCCCCTTAGGTAAAATGTTTGGGGGTTCTTCTGGGGTTTTTATTCTTTTCATTGATCCTTCTATTAATGCCTTGACACTCTACTGCTTTATTGTTTTTTAGGGTTAGTATATCTTCCCTACTCTTCTTTTTCAGAGTTTTCTGGCTATTGTGTTCATTATGGACATCAGTAGTGATGTCTGTAAAGCCAACAGTAACAATAAACTCTTCATTCTTTAGCATGCTTCTTCTAAGATTTTTTTTCTTTTTTGTTGTTATAATCATGGGTTGTTTTTTTTTTTTAACACTTACCCTTTTCATTCTCTGTGAGGCAGATGGTAATTATAAAAGAGAAACAGTAAAACAAAAATAAGTACCTAATTTGGATAATTTTTCATTATTGAAGCCCACTAACCACAGATGAAGAACACGCTTATGATAAAACAAGTTGGGTTTGTTTAGTTTGGGTTGTTACAGCCCAGAGAGAATACATACATTCCTGAGAGCCTCGGGAACCTCATAGAAAGATGGGCGTGGGGTGCATGCTGGGTGATTCTAAGAGGGAGTAGGCCCTGGATAGGCTGCTCTCAAGAAGCTAGGACATTTGGTAATTAGATGTGTTAACTTTTATCCATGAGACAGGACAGTTGAGGTGGGGCCAGATAAAGAAGCAACAGCCACTTAAGGTAGTTAGAAGCGATGGGTGTTCAGTCATTTTTGTTGTCAAAAAGTGATCTCGTCCATTTTTTTTTTAAGGTTTTATTTATT